GCTAGAAAATACAGAATGTGAGTGCCTAGTAGGCCACCTTTGGTAAGCAGAACTGGCTCTAGGGATGAATGGAATTAGGCTAACCATGTTTATCCCCCTGGTGTGTTGATGGTTGGGAGAGAGGTCTGGTGCTTAGTAATGTTTGTCTAGGTGCGTGAACGAGTGACAGTCCTGTTTTGTGGAGCACAGAGGCTACAAAGGAATTGGAAGTCGTTGCTTGGGATATTGGTGATTTCATCACTTGATAGCTACTGTGATGAGAAATATTTCATTGGGGATGTCTGCATTTTGGCTTGAGGGCCTATGGCTTCTTGAATTCAAATCCAGAGTCCTTTCTCCTTGCATTCAGGGCCTTTCATTTTATGTGTCCTGGGTTTGCTTCTCCAGCTTTGGATCTGGTTGTTCCCTGATCCAGTCCTACACTGTCACCAAAGCAGCCTCTTTGTTGTCTTGAGCCCCTGCTTGTCTCCAGGCCTTTGCTCCTGAGTCTCCTCCAGCTGAGACGTCCTTCCTCCTCTGTTAAGATGCACCCAGTACTCACAGCTCTGTTCACATCTCCAACACAGGCCTCTGTGAAACCTTCCCGAGAAGCATTTATTTCTCTAGTCGTTTGTGGAATTTACAGATGGTAACACAAGTCTGGTCTTTTTTAGTTTGGTGTTTGGTTACTTTAATCCCATGTTATTTAGTACTTTAAGAGCAAGGGATGAAATAATTAAATGAGCAACCCCCCCCCCAATGTGGCCTCTGCTCTTCTCATGGATACCCTGTGGAGTGAGGCCCAGAGGGGGAGACCTGGCTCAGCAACACTGCACTAGCCTGGGAAGCAGGACCTGCCTTAGCTGTGGAGCAGGGGAGGGAAGGGGAGATCATTTCTGCTTTAGGTGGCAAATAGTTTAACACTATCTCTTAATAGCATTGAATTTATGCACCTGGTTTATTATTTTAACATAAGATTCAGAGAGACCCTTATCCCACTAAACAGGAGGATAGACATAAGGACTAGGCAGTGATCCTGGCTGCTTCTCATGCACGTCAGAGATCAGATGGATACTCATAAGGTAGCCTTTTGCTGGGCGTTTCCTGTGTATGTGGCGTTGTTCTGGGGCTGCAGGTTGTGATGGAGGGGAGACAAACAAGAAAACGACAGTGTTTGCCTCAGGTGCTTCTAATATGCTTTGAATGTGAGGCTGCTCTTCTGTAAAGTTAAATAACACATGACAACAAGACAGATGCCATGGGGTGATACGTGGTTAATTGTCAAGTGATGGTTTGAGGCTGTGAGCTCCGAGGAGAGGAGATCACTGTGGGAGACACTGTGGGCCTCAGACTCAGATTGAAGAGGCTGGAAGTGCATTTGGGAGTTGCCTTCATCAAACCATCAGCATAGAGGAGCGCTGTGAGGCTCAGGCAGCAACATGCCACCCTACAGCCGGACCCCTAGCTGCTCTTTTCTCTCAGAATAGCCCTCTCCTGTTCATACCTATTTTCTCCTTAACAGCATTTTTTTCTTTCCAAGAGGGTTCATATTCTTTAACTCTGGTCATGTAGGGTGCTGCCCAGTTACAGGTAGAGTAGATTAAGACTCAGGATGGGTATACATAAGGCTAGCCAGAGTGGCTTAGGAGTAGCTTCCTTCCTCCTGTTCCAGGGTTGAGCCCCATAGCCACCCATCCAACCCACCACAGTGACTCCAGGCAGTAAATAGCAAGCTCCTTAATGTTGGGTGAGTTCTGTCTTGCTAACCGTTGTTGACGGGGACCTCTGTAAATCACCTGATTATTTGAATTACTGAGGAAATCAAGCCGGGTTACATGACCAAGAACATTTTCCTTATTTATTTTGATCAGTGTAGTTTAATTATTTATGGAAACATTGTTCTCTATGGTACACTAATAAATGTGCTATAGTAAATTTGTAAAAGGTAATGGAGTCTAAGAACTTCAGGATTGCATGATAGATTTCTGCTATTAAGTCTGTGTTAGGGAGTAGAGGAAACCATTCCTCCTTGACTGAGAGCACAGAGGAACTGACCATTCAGGGATTTTGGCCAGTACAACTGTACCATGGCTAAGTAGGGGCCTGTTACTTGGCATACTCTGGAGAAAACCTTATTTAAGGGGAAAACTAGAAATAGAATTATGTAGGATAAGCAAGCATCCTATAAGGCTTTGGATTGTGGGATTTTTGAGCATGGGTTTATAGTATGACAGGATATATGGCAGGTGTGAATTCTTACTTGCAGAAGGTTTACATCCTGAATGCTGTTCTGTTCAGGATTTATTGAGAATGGATAGACAGAGAATGTGGAACAAGGTCACATACTAAATAGGACAGTGGAGTCTGGAGCCAGAGGCCTGGATTCAAATCCTCCCTCTGTCTCTGAATAGCTGTGTGACACTGGGCAGGTTTTTACTCTCTCTTTGCTATCTTTTCATCTGTAAAAAGGGGTGATGATAACAGTACCTCCTATCTTGGGTAGCTGTGAGGATTAAATGAGATTACACACTGTATAGTGTTTAAAAGAAGTGCCCAACTTGTATGTTGGTTTAGTTATTATTTTTACATCTAGAAGGGGCCTTCTCTTTATTTTCAAATATTGCAGTAGAGGAAGGAGCTACATGCCCAAAGTCGCCCAGTGAGCTGATGTCAAGGCCATCTTGGTACCCACACATCATCAGGATGCTGATTTCACACATCCCCATGGTCCCTGTTCATAGGGGAGTCTGTCTTTTGTGTAGTGCTGAGATGGACAGTGAAGAGATCTGCAAGTGAATGACGGGGGGCGGGGACCAGGCAAGCAGAGCCCACAGTACCCAGGACTCTACCTTCGTCAAAGTCATGGGATGGACCTTGATGCTGTTTTTCTTCCCAAGCTCCTAGCTGTGTGTTTGTGTCTGGTGTGAATAGCAAATATCCGAGGCTGGAACTCTGCAGCATATCTGCAGCTTCTTTCTCAGAAGGATCACGGTGGCCAAATTATTTTGCAGTGATCTACTCCCACGTCCACTGAGTTTCAGGCTTGGTTCCCTTTTGGCCTTCACCCTGTGCACCAAGAATGGAACCCGAGATGAATACACAGACACTAGAGGGAGTGTTGCCTTGGGAAAGATGGGAAAATAAATAGGATGAAATCATGAAAAAAAAAGTCCCAGGAATTGTTCCAAAGGAGAGAAAATGAGAAGAAGTAACCTGTAAATGCATTATGTGGAGGGCTGTTTGGCAACTCATCAATGAATGATTGGTTGGTAAGAGGGCGGATCAGGCCTGGGTTGACTAATCTTCCTCTTCCTGCAGAAAAAAAAGGTTGTACAAGTTACATCCAGTCAGCGGTGGGATATTCAACCTATGAATGACTGAACTAATATCCTACAAATAGATTCGTCTAGAAATCATGTGCAGCTGTGGTTCCTCTGTCTCTTCTGCATATTCTTCTTTATTCCCCGTCATTCTCTTGTCTGGTGGTTGGTCAATAGAAGTCTCTTCAGTTGAATGGGATACGTACTTTCTTCATGCCTGACACTGTAGGGGTGAAGAACGTTTTGTGGATCAGAATGTCTGGTCTGCTCCAGCTGTCCCTAGGGTCTGTACCTACTGGAACATCACAGGTGTTTCATTCTTCATTTCTTAGGTCTCACATGTCTGACCTGGTCTTCTCACCTCTATGGTGAGCTTGGCAGTTTCTCATCTGGATGGTTAGGACCAGGTTAAAGATGACACTGCATGAGAAATGAGCCTATTCTTTAAAAAAGTCTGACCTCAGGGGCTGGGGGTTCTAGCTCAGTTGGTAGAGCGTTTGCCTTACATATGTGAGATACTGGGTTGGATCCTCAGCACCACATAAAAACAAATAAGTAAAATAGAGTTATCATGTCCGTCTAAAACGAAAATAAATAAAAACGTTTGGGGCTGGGGATATAGCTCCTTTGGGAGAGTGCTTGCCTCACATATACAGGGCCCCTAGTTTCAATCCCCAGCACCAGAAAAACAAAACAAATTAATTGATTCGATAGGTAGGGGAACCTGTCTACACTAAGAGTTTTGAGTCCCTGAAATTGGGGATATAGAGAAGCTTGTTTTTAGGATGATGGTGGAAAGGGGGAGGATCCTTAGAAATGAAGGAAGGCGTTGCTCATCTCAGGTGTTGCTTTCAGCACTAGCCAGGCTGGAAAGCAAACTCCCTCCCCCCATTTTATTTATTTTTGTCTTCACATTTTTTTTATTGATGAGTTACAGTTGTACATAATGATGAGATTTATTATTACATATTCATACATGCACACAATGTAACAATATAATTTGGCCAATATCATTCACTTCTAGCCCCTCCCCTCTTCCCGGCCTCCCACCTGCTTGTCCCTTTCCTCTACTGATCTCCCACACCTTTCTTTTTCTTTTTCCTTTCTAGCTTCCATATATGAGACAAATGTACTACTATTGACTTTCTGAGTTTGGCTTATTTTGCCTAACATAATGGTCTCAAGTTCCATCTAGTTTTCTATGAATGACATAATTTTATTTTTCTTTATGGCTGAATGAAACTCCATTGTGTGTATATAACACATTTTCTTTATCCTTTCTTCCAGTGATGGATACCTAGTCTGGTTCTATGGTTTGGCTATTGTGAGTTGTGCTGCTATAAACATGGGTATGCATGTAGCACTCTAGTATGTTGACTTTAATTCTTTAGGTAAATGCCCGAGAGTGCTATAGTTGGGTCATATGGTGGTTCCATGCGTGGCCTTTAAGAACCTCCATACTGATTTCCATAGTGGTTGTATTGATTTACAGCAGTGTAAAAGTGTTCCTTTTTCTCTACATTCTCTCCAGTGTTTGTTATTATTTGTATTCTTGATGACTGCCATTCTGACTGGTGTAAGATTAAATCTCAGTGTAATTTTTGACTTGCATTTCCCTAATTGCTAATGATGGTGAACATTTTTTTCATATATTTGTTGGCTGTTTTTATTTCTTGTTTTGAGAAGTTTCTTTAATTCATTTGCCCATTTATTAATTGGTTTAACGGTGTTAGGTTTTTTGAGTTTTTTAAATGCATTTTAGATATTAATACTTTCAGAAGAGTGGCTAGCAAAGATTTTCTCCCATAGTATAGGTTCTCTCTTTACATTCCTAATTGTTACTTTTGCTGTGCAGAAGCTTTTTAATTTGACGCCATACCATTTATTAACTCTTGGCATTACTTCCTGAGCTTTTCCTAAAGAGAAAGTTATTGCCTGTACCTATGTATTGGAGTATTGACCCTATGTTTTATTCCAGGAGTTGCATAGTTTTGGGGATAATTCCTAGGTCTGTGATCTATTTTGAGTTGACTTTTGTACAGGGTGACAGATAAGGGTTTGGTTTCATTCTTCTACATATGGATAACCAGTTTTCCCAGCACTGTTTGTTAAAAAGACTGTCTTTTTTTCCAGTGTACATTGTTGACATCTTTGTCAAAGATCAGATGACTGTAGATGTGGGGGTTTGTCTCTGTGTTTTCTGTTCTGTATCATCAGTCTATGTTTTTTTATGCCAGTCCTATGAAATTCTTGTTACTCTATCTCTATAGTATAGTATTATGATGCCTCCAACATTGCATTTTTTTTTGCTTAAAATTGGAAAGCAAAGTTTTTATTGGAAAAATTTTTGAAAACTCCAGAATGTCTTTTTTCTTATGAGAAATTCTCTGAACAGCAGTGACCTTGAACCAGTCTCTACACCTTAGTTTCATTGCCTACAAAATGAGAATAATACTGAACTTGTAAGATTGTTGTGAATTTCAGAAATGATATGCATAAAGGGTCTAACTAGCACAGTAGACTATTGCGTGGGGATGTGAATGCCCATTATCACTCAGATGGGAGATGGGGTAGGCTGGGATGTCTTCTTTCCTAGCAGACCTCTTGGCACTCTGCCCATTTCCCGAACACTTTCCGTTTTTCTGTGTGCTGACTTGATTATACAAGACTCAGGTTGGAAGAGTCAGTGCCTTTCAAAGAGTAGGGAGAAGCCACTTATCAATGACTGAGGGAAGTTGGTGGATAAGTATCCAGCTCCCTTGTCTTTTGGAGTGAACAGAACCTGAGGTTGGTCTTCAGAACTGTGTCTGAGATTAAGACCCATTTGCTTACCATGGTAATTTGCTTGGTTTTATGTCTGCCTTCTGTCCCTATTTCATTTTTCCACTTCCCTGTGACTATTTCCATGGATCACCCCCTCCCCCCCATATAAACTGTGTAAGTGCTAGTCTTTGTTTCAGGGTATTTTTCTGAATGAACCTCAACTAAGATCCTTAGTTATTTCCAAGTGTATTGGTTTGGCTTCTCTAGAGAAAAAGAATCAGTAGTGTGTAGGTATAGATTACTCTAAGGGATTGGCTCATACACTTATGGTAACTAAGAAACCAAGGGTCTGTAGTTGGCAAGCTGGAGTCCAAAGAGAACCTATAGTATAATTCTAGTCTGAGTCAGAAGATCTGAGGAGCAGGAGAGACAATGGTGTAAATTCTAGACTGGGTCCTAGTCCAGGGGCAGGAGAAGACGGATATCCCAGCTTCATGACAGTGAGGCAGACAGAAATGATTCTTTCTTACTTAACCTTTTATTCCATTTGAATCTTCAAAGGATTGGATGAGGTCCATCTATATTGGGGAGGGCATTCTACTTTGTTTAGTCTACTGGCTCAAATGTTATCCAGGAACACACAGACACAGACAGAAGAATGTTCAACCAAATATCTAGGTGCCCTATGACCCAGTTATCCATCACACCGAGTCAGGAATTTCTCTCTCTCTTTTCTTTTGATGCTGGGCATGGAACCCAGGGCCTCTTGCATGCTGGGCAAGTACTCTGCCACTGAGCTATATCCCCAGTCCTTTGTAATATTATATTAAAAACCTGTTGTGAGCCTTGCCATAGTATATACTAGGAATGGAGAAGGAAATGGGTCTAAGATAACATCCTAGAGGGGCATCATACCATGTTGGAAAGAATATTGGTTTTGGGATTGGGAATTTCTTGAGCTGTGTTCTTGGTTTACATGAAATGTCTTCCGCAAGTTAACTGTTTCTTAGGTGTAAGGAAATGAAGACCCTTCCAGATAGAGAAGATGGAAAAGAAATGAGGAAGAGTTACAAGTCTGTGTTATTTTGGGTACATTATTAGTGAGAAGAAGATCTGGAATTGTGATGAAAAAAATTGGAAAATACTTCTTTCCAGCATGTATAGGTGTTTTCTTACCTTAAGTAGATGTATTTTCATTCCTTAAAAAAAACTGATCCATTTTTTTTTGATGATGTCCTTTAAAGTTCAAAAGGTTTTAATTTTGGGGAAGCCAAGTATATCTATTTTTTGTTGTTGCTTTTGCCTTTGGTGCCATAGTTAAGAGACTCTTGCCTAATTCAACGTCATAAGATTCATGCATGATTTCTTTGTAAGAGATTTATAGTTTTATTTCTTCCCTTTATGTCTTTGGTCAACTTTGAATTAATTTTTGTATATGATGTGAGGTTGGGTGGTTCTAGTGTCATTCTTCTGCATGTGGATGTCCCATTGTTGCCTGTTTGTTTAAAACACAGATTCTTCCCCCGTTGAACTATTTTGGCATCCTTGTAAAAATCAATGGATCACAAATGTCAGTTTATTTCCAGACTGTCAGTTCTCTCCCAGTTATCTGTATGTCTGTCTTTTAGCCTTGTGGTAGCTTTGTTGTAGCTTTTGAAATTGGGAAATGTGAATTCTCCAAATTTGTTTTTCTTTTTAAAGAATGCTCTGGCCATTCTGAATCCCTTGAATTTTCACATGAATTTTAGGATGCCATATTTTACCACACAGTTGTTTATATATATATATATATATGCAAACAAATAGGCCCATGTATTATATAAATTTTTTTTAAAAATTATGCCAGTATTACTTAAAAATAATATATCACTACACTGTCTTTGGTGCAAGATTAGGATGCATGGGATATATATATATATATAAGCTCAAATGGATGCACATTATTTGTTTGTGACAGTTTAGTGAACATTTTTCTGGCCTGAAAAAATAAAGTTATTACACTGGTTGTTATTGGGAAAAATAAACTGATTCATTTAAAAATTCATTTGCTTAGGGCAGTGCTAATTAAGTTATTTGGATTTTCTGGGATTTAGTTTCCCTATCTCTAAGAAGAAAAAGTTGTCTAGGTTCATGCAAGTCCATCTCATCACAAACTTGATATGAATCAGGTTAGTTATTTATGTATGTGTGAATTTGGGATAATCCTGTTTGCTCCCTTAGTATCACAGTTAAATAATGAAATGGTGCACCTGGAAACATTTTGAAAATAACGGGGGTGATATGAACTCAAGGTGTTTGTTTGTTGACTTTATCTCTCCTTTATTCCTTAAGGAGCTGGCGGTTCCCTCGGTGACAGATTCGAGGCCACATGTACCACCTGTCTTCTTTTGCCTTCTCTTAGTACACATAAAAAACTTCCGTTAACACACATGCAGTGGTATTAGAAGCCCCAACTTCTTATTCCAGGCATAGTGTACAATTAATTTGAAGTCACATCTAATATAATAAAATTCCCAGATGGGAGTGGAACTTGATGTTTAAAAAGATTTTGTTCCAGAACTTGACCTGTATTGATTGTTTTTGCCTTATTCCTTTCAGATAATGCGACTTATTTGGGGAGTACCTCCTATGTGCCTGGTATTGCAGCATATATGAAAAACCATATGATGCCTCTGGACATCCCAAAGCTTACAGTTTTATGCCTGGGAAACATATTGGACAGCTTTGTAGAGGACAGAGCAAGACAGCATAAAATACATGCTCCTTTAAAACATATTTAGGAAATAAATTGAATTTCAACCATAGTTGAATGAAAAGCAATAAAAATATTAACAATAGTGTGGTTGTTTTTATTATCTGCAACAAAATCTAGTCCTGGAATTGGAGATAGATGTTACCTGTACCACTAAACCCAGGACACTTGACAACATGCGTTCTGACCTTTGAGGTCAAATAGTTTATCCTGGGCTCTGGTAATTATTGAGAACTCTGCCAGTTTGGTTTGGGCTATAACTTTCTCATAGAGCTTTTTGTTTAATTTTGGGTTTCTATTTGTCTTATTTTCTATACAGGCAGAGGAAGCATCTGCCTTTTTACCATAGTACTCAGATTTTTTTTAGTTGATATTCTAATTTTACGGATTTCTTTCTTTCTAGGTCTGTTTCCCTTCTGTCTTCTTGAGATTTTCCATTTATTTCACTCCTGGATTTGTGCTTCTGTTTCTTGGCATCCCTTCCTCTGTTGGGCCAGTTTTGCATTTTTGTGTGTTACATCCTCAGTCGTCATCTTCACAGAGTACACGGGAATGTCCTTGTTTATATCTATTGTCCTCACGTAATACACATGGATTTCTTTTAACTCTCAAAAGATTCTGGCTTGGAGGATAAATCACATAGAAACCCAGCACTTAGGAGATACATTAGAAAAAAAAAATCCTCAGCTTGTCTAAAATCTTACTTTGCTCTCATACTGGCTCCATGGACATAGGAATCTAGGTTAAAAAAAAAAATTCCCTTGAATGTGTGAATTACTTGGATTTGCTGGTTTTGTACCATTTACTATTTTTGGATTATGTGTGTCTCCCTTCCTGCTCAGGGACTGATGAGGGTGAGGAAAAGGGGTGCCTACCCTGGGAAGCCTGGATGTTCAAATGGGTGAGGTGCACTCTTTTAAGAAAACCAGAAGCATTCTATCCAGGTTGAAACAAAATCTGCAATATGTTGTGGGGGGTGAAATTGAACAATCTGTCATTGACATTTGTTAAAGGTTTTCTGGCTGAATTTTATATTAAAGGTAGTCAGATACTTTTAGTTATTTGTTTTTATTTATAACTACGCCAGTACTCAATACTAGACATGTGTTTGTGGAGTGCCTTCTGTGTGACCAGTGCTGCTGGTGTCTGAGGTCCTACTGGAGGAGAGGTCCGTGGTACTGTCAGAGATTGCACAAGGGCCACCTAACTTAGGGAAGGCATAGAGGAAGCAGCAGGTGCACTGAGATCCCAAAAGATGTGCCTGTTGGGCGAAGTGGAGAGAGCAGAGTGTTCTAGATTTCAGTGGCAGGAGGGAGCAAAGTCTCTGAAGGGGATAGAAAGCAGGACAGTGTGGGGGCCGGGGACTGAAAGGTGCAGCCAGCCAGGCAGGTACAGGTAGGACCAAGCAGGGCTTATGGGTTTGTTCTTTGCCCTAACGGGCAAAGGGGTAAGTTGTAAAAAGGTTCAAAGTAAGAGAGTGATCAATTTACATTAACAAAAAAATCATTTAGGCTTCCCTGTGGGTTGGAGGGAGAGAACGATGGAGGCTGGGAGGCTGAACTGATACTGAAGCTGGAAAGGGTGATGGCTTGGGTGGTGGAAGTGGGTGTGGGCGGGAAGGAGCCCACTGAGGGATTATTTGGCAAGGGCTGTAGCTGATCCCATGTGGCCCCCGTTCTCCACTCCTTCCTGCAATTTCCTGCATACTCGGCCTGGGCAGTGCCTTCTCTGGGTGAGCAGGGGTCTTCTCCACTGGCTAACTTTGTATTTGGCAGTGCAATTTGCTTTAACAGGAGATGAGGCAAAAGGGACACTGTCAGTTGTAAGCTTAGTGATCCAGAGGCATTGTGTGTTTCGTACTCTGTGTTGCACCTCTACAGTGGACAAGAGAAAAAACGTGCCCAGGCAAGCCCACTGGATTCCAGTAGCAATCATCTACTGTGGGCACTGTGCGTGAGGGTCCCATCCTCTGGACGGGACTTCTCCACAGCAATCCAGGGCTTGGTCAGCTGGCAGTGGAAAGGATAGTTCTAACTATGATATCAAGTCAAGAGGATAAGAGACAAAAAGCAAGCCCAGCCCAGATCAGCTAAGCCCAGCTGGGAGTGGTACAGCCATCCAGCTGAGCCCAGCTGTGATCAGCCAGCTCCCCTGGATGCCCTGTATCTTTGTGAGAATAAGTGATGATTGTGAGAATCGGAACTGATTGAGATTTGGGTTGATGATTCTGTAGCATTTTTGCAGCAAAAGCTAACTGAGATAGTAGGTGAAACCAACAGAACTTGAGAGATGGGGTGTAGCATATTTGGGGGGAATGTAATTACTGTGTAAAGAGAGGCTCACCTCTGTTTCAAGGTCATTAACCGTCTGTACAAGCTCAGGGTTATCCTTAGGTGTGTCCCTTTGGTGACTGCCTGCCACTCCCTTTTCCTTACAATTCTTGGCTGCTTTTTCTGAATGAGGTAGATCAGATCTGTGGTCTAAAGGTATTAATCCTCCCCTCTTTTTTCCCTCTCACTTTTTCTCCCCTGCAGCCTAATCGGATTCCTGCTGAGCACTGAAGCTGAGTGGTCCTCAGGTCTCTCAACAGGAGCCTTCAAGCCCTAATACTCAGTATTTTCTTGTGAGAGTTGAAGTCAATTTTTGCTCTAACTGGGAAGATGGAATTTCACTTAAAACGGGGGGAGAAATGCAGGGCCAGGGATTTCCTTGGTCTTGACTGATTATTTAAAATATATTAGTTCTGATAAAATATTTAGCTTTTAAACAACAAATTTAATATAGGGAATTGTGTTTTATTTATTAATGGCAGTTGCAGGGAGATTGGTAGGAGTTGTGCTAAAGTGCACTGTTGTGATTTTGCAAAGTATAGTAATTACTGTAATATTTTGTTGAATTATTAATATCTACTGTGCCTGCAGGAACATAAGCTTCTGCAGTCGAATTCATTTCAAGATTGCCTTTTCCCCCCTTCTGGTTTTATTTTGTGTTTTCCTTCCTTTCTTGTGCACTTATGAATTTTTTAGGCAATGGTATGGGTGGGGCAGAGTTGATTATATTGTATGAAACATCATCGTTACAACCTGTAACTGAACATAGGCAGCAGAAAAACAACAACAACAACAACAAAACAACTCAGGTTCCTGCATGAGCCACTGCTTCAGCCCAGCCTGTTTACAGGAGCAGATTGAGGGATGTTGAAGGAAGCATGTCTGGTGAGCAAGGACCTGTTCAGGAGCTGAGATGAGGAGAGAAAATAGTGGGCAGGCCACCGATGTGCATACCTCTAAGCTTCTAAGCAGAGCTGCTCTATCCCTAGATGAAGTTGTTTGCAGTCACTGCTGTGGGACTCTGAAGCTCTCCGCCATGTGACTGCCCACATCTCTGTTCTGTAGACATTTGACTTCACTTCTTCAGTGTCTGAGCAAGTATGGGCACTTCCAGTTCTTCCTTCTCTTCCGCCTTCTCTGGTTCCATCTATTTCCACCATTCTTCCAGGATCAGGGGTACCCTGGACTTGGGGATGAGATGGCTCCTGGATAGCTGGGGTCTGCAACAAACATGGTCCCCACTTGAGATGGTATTTCCTATGTTCAGTATTATTGTGGTCCTGAAGAGCCATGAAGGAGCAGCTATGCCCTTATAGTTTAGGTACCTGTCCTGCCCATGTCCCCCTGTGAGGAGTGATCTTTAACATGGGGACAGATACTTGATTGTGCCTCAGTACAATAATAGAAGCTGAATGAAGAGCCATTCAGACTTGGTGCTTTGGGAACTTGAGACCTGAGAGAAGTATGTGCAGAGAGAAGGATGGAGATTCACCCTGACATTGGAACCCACAGTGAAGCCTCTGGGGATGGGGTGTCACATCTACTGAAGGCCTGCTGTGTGCTGGAACCAGCCATGGGAGCTTTGCATTTCCCCTCTTTGCACCTTTAGGAATTGGGTTTGTTATTAACCCTGTTTAACAGGTGAGGAAACCCTGAGCAAGAGAGTTTAGATTGCCAGGATCACACTTGAGTTTTGGTGTTTCTAGACAAGGAGCAGGTTGAATAAAGGGCACAGGGGAGGAGAAACCAGGTGTGTCTGGGAACTGAAGAGGCAGAGATTAGATGTGGCCTGATTACAGAGGCATTGTATGACCAACAGGCTAACTTGTGTTTTATTTTGTTGGCAATGGGCAGCTGTTAGTAATTTTGAGCAAGGGGGAACATGTCACTAGCAGTGGTGTCAGTCATTCTCCAAACATTGGCAAACTCATTCTCCCTCCTTTGCAAGAGGAGAAACAAAGGCTCAGAGAGGTGAGGCAATTTACTCAGGGACACCCAGCAAATTTCGACTGGGAGCAGAAGCCCACCCTGCTGCCTCTCCTTCCAGCTCGGCAGCTGCTGGCTGCCTTCCTCTCCCTCTGCCTGTTCCCTTTCCATCAGCAGTGGCTCTTGCCTGCTCTCTCCTCTCCACCATGATCTTCACAGTAGCGGTCCTCTCCATCATTAGAGCAACCAGTGGGGTTCTGCTGTAATTAAAGGAAGCCAACGGGGGAAGCAAAGCAGAGCAAGGGAAAAAAGCAACCACCAACAAAACATCTTATTTCCCACACAAACTCCCTAACAACTGCCATCTATCTGCTTTCATGGGAAGCTGCTTGCTTTAAATACAGCAAAGGGAAACCCCACAGATGGTGGGGGAAAGCAGGTTATTAAGTTACCTTCAGGCTGCCAGAGTGGGGGACTTACTCCTCTCTTGTCCTCCCTACCCTGCAGGGCAAAACCAATCGAATGTTAAGAGTTGAAAGAGACCTTGAAGGTCATTTAGTTCAACTTCTCCACCAAGGCAGGGTCCCCTTCACTGCCTGCACTCCCAGTATCTCTGACACCTAGTTACATGGCTCCCCATCTCCCCACCGTCCCCAGCTCTTCAGATTTGCGGGACCAAGGATCAGGTAGGGATGGGAAGACACTTTCAGTAGCAAAAAAAAAACCGGCCACCCAAGCCTATTGTCATTTATAGCTACGACTCCGGAAATGTCTAATTAATTCATTTGTCCAATTAGCCCCTTGCTCTCTGAAATGCTTTCTCTTGGTT